CTCTAATTCAACGAAAACAGAAAGTTTATTTAAAAATTCTTGATACTGAGTGAATTTAGCATATTCAAAGAAATATGCCACTCAGAATACTCAAAAAATAATCGTCAGAGGTATCTAGAAAATATTGCAAATAGGACAGAAATTTTGAGAAAACATAATACCTCATCATACACGGAAACCCAAGAGAACCACACTGCCACCACCAGAGCTTACATGCCGCTGTTGAAGTTCATGGGCCGCCGTCAGAAAACCACGCGCCGTCGTCAGAAAACATCAAAATTCCCCATTTCGACCGGAAATCACTACAGAACCTTAATGTACACCCTGATCCAGAATGACATTCGCTGAAACACCTTAAATTGCGCCGGAAATCAGAGAATCGCTTGCTGTCGCACGATCTCCTCCGTAGCCGCTTTCCCTTCTTCAGCCTTCTGGTTTCGTGCACAGAACCGGCTAACTGAGCGCCTCTATGCCTTCTTTCTTTGAACGGTAACCCAAGACGCTCGGGGATGCTCTCCTTTAGCAATCCCGCTGCACGTAGCCTCAAACCGCCGCGAGAACTGCTTCCACGGCTTCTCCTGCGTACACCACTCTTAACTGGCCGAAGATCGTTGGTTGTCTTCTTCCAGCACCGGGAATGAGTTGTTCAACCATTCTTTTAATATGATATAATTTGATTCATAAAACCCTAACCCTAACCTTAGCTCTATTACCATATAAGATTTAGAGAAAGGAATTCTGAATATTTACATATTTTTGTTACACAGAGTTAGGGGTATGTATACATAAAAGAGGGATTTATATATAGAAACATAAACCACCATATTAATGCTAGGAAATCAACTAATAATTATATAAAAATATTCTGTAATATATTTTGTGATATTCTAACAAGAAGAAAAGTACATTTCCTTAAAATTTGATTATGTATATGAATATAAAGTTATCTTTAATTTGTCTCTTTCGCTATTATAGTGAATGGCAAGGCTTAAGAATGGTTTTTGTGTATATAAGGGATAAGGCAATGGTATCTTTTGTCTTCATTTCTTTTTTCTTTGGTAGTAGATGCATTGAGTAGGATATTGACAAGAGGGTGGAAAGAGGAGAAATATGAGGTTGTTTGGTTGGTAATGGAAGAATAGAGGTGTCTTACCTTCAGTACAAGGATGACACAGTTTAATTCCTATCACATGGTGATAGATCATTCTTAATGCGCTCACATTGATGAGGATGTTTGAGTACATTTCGGAACTCCACATTAATATGAACAAAAGTAGACGAGTAAGTTTAAATGTGGCAAATGACCTAGCTGAACAATATATGTGTAAAGGATAGCCAATGACCTACTTAAATTTCCTATTAGGCAGTAAGCCTAGGTGCAAATTTTATTGGGATGTGGTGGTTAGTAAAGGTGCTCAGAGATTTGGAAAAAGGAGCTATTTTCTATGGGAGGTGGAGAGCTTATGATTGGTTATCTAGTATCGCACTATATTACTTGTCTTTGTTTAAGATATTATCGGGAGTGATGAGAAAATTCCTTTGGGCTAGGATTTAAGAGAATAGAGGGGTCATTTGATGAGCTAGACAGTTATAAATCTAAAACCTCTGGAGGCAGAGGTTTTGGCATTGTGTAAAATCTAGAAATCTGTCATGATTGACCAAATGGTTATAACATTTTTGTAGGAATCTAATTTTTATGGCACAAAGTGATTAAAAATCTCCATGAGAGTTGGAATGGATGGGATAAAATTGTTAGGAGCTCCACCTAGCACAAAAGCCAATGAAAGGCTCTCTCCAATTTGTTACACCTCTTTACACCTTTGTCTCACTGTAAGGTGAGAGATTCTAAGGTCCTTTATTTATTTTTCAAAAGGAGGGTCCAAGGTCCTATTATAAGAGGAGTATTGGAGGGGCGACCCCTTATGATCATGTGTTGATTTTGGAGAAAAACTATAAATTTGATTTCTCGCCCCTTATGTTATTACACTCGAAGTATTTATAGAATTGTTAATTTACTGATAAGAAAATTTTTATTTTACTAAAACTCTAATTATATTAAATTATTATTTTTGTAAAATTTTAATTACATAATCTCAACTAATTAAATAATGAAATAATAAAATATCATAATCAACACCTCATATCAGATTGGTGTAAAGATATCACGCATGCCCAACTTGCAGATCAAGTTTTGAAGAGATTTGTTGGAAGTTTTCAGTGAAAATATTTGTTATCTAATCGCCAAAAGACGGATGATATAAGCATAAGGCCGCGCGCAGAGGAGCTAGAAAAAGACTAGAGAAGGCCGGTCAGAGTGGCTTGCGTGCGGAGGAACTAGATCGCCGTTGGTATCACGAAATCAAAGGTGGACGCGCGCAAAGGAGTCGAAAAAAGGATTAGAAACCGGTCGGAGCGGTTCACACGCGGAGGAAGCATATCACAAGCGGCTTGCATGTGAAGGAACAGAATCGGCGCTGGTAGCGCGACACCAAAGGCGGATGTGTGCAGAAGAGCAGGAAAAAGGACCAAAAAAGATCGGCCAGAGCAGCTCATGCGCAGAGGAAGCAGATCTATGCCGGTATATCAAAACTTGAGACAGTCGCATGTGAGGAGTCGGAAAAAGGATCAGCAAAGGCTGATCGGAATGGCTTGTGCTCAAAGGAAGCAAGTCTGTGCCGACGTGCCAAACTAGAGGTGGATGCGTGTAGAGGAGTCGGAAAAAGGACAGAAAAGGCTGGTCGGAGCGGCTCATGTGCAAAGAAGGCTTGTTTGTGCGCAGTTCAATCAGAGAGCTAGAGAGAGTACGCACACTGGAGAGAAGATCTACGGCGGCCAGGTCGAGCATTTCTGGTGTGATTTTCTCTACATCTGTGCCCAATTTGAACCTTCTAACAGTTTATGTGGTGATTCTTGGTGAAATTGTGGCTGAAAATGGTGGCCGGCGGCGGCGCATGGGGCTCACGGACTTCTACAGTGGCCCGCGATGTCGGGGAAAGGCCATCAGTGAGTGTAGGACACCTGTCTTGGGTGGTGATGAGAGTAGATTTGTATAAGTGAGTACCAAGTTAGCCTTTTGTGCTATTTTAGGATTGAAAGAAATGCTAAAATTAGAACCTTAAAATAGTTTTATTTGACTATGATATTATGTTGATTTTGGAGAAAAAATATAAATATTATATCTTACCTTTTATGTTATTATATATAGGGTATTTATAAAATTTCATAATTTAGTGATAAGGAAATTCTTAGTTTACAAGAATTGTAATTACATAAGATTACTATTATCATAAAATTTTAATTAGATAATTTTAACTGATTAAATAATAAAATATCAGTCATTACTATGCAATTCCCCACTGATTTTTCATTTCTTCACGCAATAAAGCACCCATTAGTCAGTTTTTCTGTCTCTGCAACGGTAATGTGAATTGAAATTTTCATTTTGTTTTTAACTTGAACAATAGAGAAGTCGATGAATTTTTTACTCTATTGAGCCTATCAGAGCTCTCCTAACCATCCCAACAGTCAGTTACGGATATGAACACTAGAATCATTGGGTATCTATACTTGTTAATCTTTTTCAGACCACATTACCAAACACTTTTATTGTTATCATAGCCTGTTTACCATGGTATTCTAGCAAGTTAAGGCTCATTTTAAGATAAAGTTGTTCGCTTGGACTGCCATTTTGAATCCATTAAGTGTCAATAAGCTATTGTAAATTAGTAGGTCTAATCAAGCTTTGTCTCTAGACATATGTGTATGTGTCGAAAATGAGTCAACATGTGGTTTGTGGCTGTGACTCAACAATAAAAAATTGCGCGGAGTTGATCATGTGATCTTTGGCTCCCAAGTCTATAATTCAGGAGAATGTAAAGGATTTATCTGAAGTATTTAGTCCATGAGGTAGAAACCGTATATGAGTGTGCCAATAAATAGGTACCTGTTTGTTTCTTCAAGGACTCAAGTCAAGTTCTTAATATTTCAATCTTTGCTTTGAATTCACTAAGACTTGAGTTGCTATGTTTGGTCAGTAACTTGGACATAGTCTCCGACTTGATCTAAAATTTTTAGGGTAATTAAGGCCGATTAAAATAGTGGCTGATTAGAGCTGCTTTATTGCAAGGAAAAAAAAAACAGGGTAGACGCCCGCTGGTTAGCTATGTGGCTGTTTACTTGTTGTGCGGCTGCAGGGAACAGCAGCCAGAGTTGTTGCTTGCGGTCGGATAGAGGTTTGAAAACAGAGGAATTGCAGCTGAAACAGAGAAGGGGCACCAAAAACATAGCAGAACAGAATGCTGAAAAGCAAATAGGTCTCCGCGAGAACATCGGAGATCTTTGCGCAAAACAAAGCAAAACAGGACATGAAACAGAACTGAAACAAAAAAACAGAGCGCAAAAACAGGGGCAAAATAGAGCAGTTTTTGCTGGAGCAAGGCATGCTGGAACAGGGTGTTTTCCAGCACAGGAGTGGTGTTTTTCGGTGCAGTAGGTATGTTTTTCAGCTATGAAGACCTGCTAGTGCTGATGTTGGATAGCCAGGAAGGCTGGATGTGGGTTTAAGGTTTTTCCTTTTGTCTTTTTGCAATAAAGGTTGTTTTAGGATTTTTGCAAAAAGTTATATATATTTCCTATAATTCTGATACCATGTGGAAGAATAGAGTGTCTAATATTTTATTGTGTATCAAGACCCTATATATACAAGTTAATAGTAGCAATACAAGGGAACATAATTAGTCACAAAGATTGCAAACATGGGTATATTACTAATATGCCCTTTACTCTACTTAACCAACAGTCTAACTTAATATACAAACTTCTTAACAGGAACAACTTTTTGTTAGATGTTTCTACTATGTGGAACAAAAGTTAACTCATTTATAAGGATTTTGGTGAATTATGCTGCATCTGATTCTTTATCATTCTTCTTAGTTAATTTTTTCCTGTGGAAAAATTGCATTATATATACTCATTTTCCACCTTTTTTGTTGGGTTTTCAGATTTGCTCTCGACATTGATCTTGATGCTCCGAAAGTCAGAATTCCTCTAAGGCCAAATGGCTCTTCCAAATGTGATGGCCATTTTCTTTTAGATTTTGGTCATTTTACTTTAAACACCATGGTATGTTTCCTGAAAAGGCTTTATTATTATTATTATTTTTAGAAAATCCAGATATTAGCCAGGAAATCAAAGTCTAGCTACCCCTTGAGGTGTTAAAGTTGGTGCATGCTAGGAAGAGATCATTGTTCTTTTATGCCAGTGTCTTAGATTTTGCCTTTTCAGTTGCTTGTAGTTGTACCCGAAATTTTCAAGTAATTAATGGTTCCTGCAGGATAGTCGGTCTACTGATCAGAGGCAAAACTCATATTCCCGTTTCTACATTTCTGGGAGAGATATTGCTGCCTTCTTTACAGATTGTGGTTCTGATAGTGAGACTTGCAGTTTACTTGTAGCAAATTCTGATAATCAGTTGACTTTGTCTCCTATGCTGGAAAAGGAGGACCACTTCTACTCTCTTATTGATAGGTGTGGGATGGCTGTAATTGTTGATCAGGTGGAATTTTTCATCTTTCATGACTTAGTCAGCACTGGTTGATGATAAAAGCTAAACAAATATTTATGCTAATTATACTTGTCTTTGTGTTTATTGAAGATTAAAGTAGCCAGTCCACATTGCCCATCAACACGTATTTCTGTTCAAGTACCAAATCTTGGCATTCACTTTTCACCTGCAAGATATTTCAGACTAATGGAATTACTAAACATCCTATATGGTACAATGGAAAATTGTGGTCAGTCTACTGTTGATAATTTCCAGACTGTAGTGGCCCCTTGGAATCCCGCTGATCTTGCAGTTCATGCCAGAATCTTAGTTTGGAGGGTGTGTGCTAAATTATTAAGGAAATAATGTGCTCAGATATTTTTTTTTCCCATGTGTATTAACTGAAATTAACCATTGTACAATTCCTTGATTTAGGGCATTGGAAACTCAGTTGCTACATGGCAGCCATGTTTCCTTGTGTTATCCGGATTGTATCTTTATGTATTTGAATCTGAAATATCCCCAGCTTACCAGCGATACTTGAGGTTTGATCCTTTCATAGTCTTTCTCGATAAGTATCTGCTTTGCTTTTACAGATTATTAGCAATCATAGCCATATTGATCCTTTCTCCAAACATTATTTTGGATTTGAATGTTCTGCACCTATTATAATCTATATAACTTTCCCAACCCTGCAGCATGGCTGGTAGACAGGTGTTTGAGGTCCCACAGGTAAATGTTGGTGGTTCCCCATTTTGCATTGCTGTGAGTTTCAGGGGGATGGACATTCAGAGGGTATGTCGTTGGCTTTCAGAGATTCAATAGTTTGTTTTCCTTAAGTGTGTATACTGTTACACTATTTTACATGCTTATGAAACCAAACCAGATATTTGATGTCTTGCATATGTGATTACCGGTTAATGCCAGAGAAATAGGAATATTTCTAATATAATATCTATGAAAGAAAAATAATATATTTCCTATGTAGTCTTTTTCTATATAGATAATCTCCTATATAGTGTGGTGTTACACTCTTGTTTTATTCTTGTTCATGGGTTTTCTATACAAATACTGATAGGTCCCAGTTAGAAGACAAAGGAAATTGGTAAAGAAATTCTTTTTGGGTGAGAATAAACCACAAGATTTTTTGATTCAAAAATTGTCTGCCTTCATTGCTGCTTGGGTAGGGTTTAAATTCATAAAAATAAAACTGCTAATTCTTTCTTTTAAGAAACTAAGGATAATGGAGGAAATGCGATAGTGCAGCAACTGCTTCATGCAGGAACTGCTTGTTGATCGGTTCCGCAGCAACTGCTTGTTGATCGGTTCCGCAGCAACAGCTACGTTTGTGGTGATCAGCTTAACATTATTCCTCCCTTTTTTAGGAACCTTGTCCTCAAGGTTCAGATAGCTTAATTTTTCTTAAAACTGCAATAGTTTCCCATGTGACATTTTCTTCCGGCATCTTGCTTGCCGCTTTGAATTTTCAATAATTTGTCGAGAACCTCATCCATGGTGGGTCTAATTTTCGGATCCTGCTGTTGTAGTGCAAGATTGCTGCATGTCTCCTTTTTTTGGGATCCCTTGCCTCTCCCTTGAGTTCTTCTATTTTTTTCTTTTTTTGGCTCTTCCGGTCCTTTCTCACAGTTGTATTCTTCTCCTGGGGCTGCAAGGATGTATTATATAAAATCGTATTGTCCAAGGGGACATGCTCTCTTGAGATGAGTTGTTGAAGAGCTAAAATTGTAAAAGATGCAACAAGTATTGAATCTGTAGTAAAATGGGGAGTAGCAGCATGCCCACCTTTTCTTTCTATCCTGGCTTCAAAGAGAGAAACAGAAGCTAAAACTGGCCCTGAAAGGATTTCTATGCTTCCAGTGGATAACCCGTAATCAATGTGCATCGTAAATATTGCATCCACGTTACAATGAGCTCCTTGTATCATCTGAGATGCACCCGCCCCTTGTTCCTTAACAGGTTGGAAGATAAGTCTTATAGTTCCTTTGAATTTCTCCTTGCACTAATTAACTAACTTCGCAGCACCCAGAAGCATAGTTGTGTGAGCATCATGTTCGCACATGTGCGCCCTGCCAGCAATTTTGCTCCTATGCTCCCAATCAACAAACTCTTGCAAATTGAGGTGATAGGTCCCACCTCTAACAAAAGTAACATAAAGCACCTGACCCTGAAGGGGATCATGATCCATTGATTCTGTCTTTATCTGCTCATCTGTGTAGGTCACCATTTACGTTAGTGATTTCAGCTCATTGCGGTATGGTCGCGTTTGGCCAAGCTAGCCTGACGTGTTGCTGCTGGGACCTTCACAGTTTACCAGCAAGGTGTCTGTCAGCCGCTTGAGGGTGTCTTCAATCTGGTGGAACTTGTCGGCGAATCCCTCCTCCATCCGGCTTAGGATGTCTTGCAATCTACCAATGCTGACTTCTAGGTTTCCAATCATTTTTTTGTTAGTAGACATGGTTTTGATACAAATTGATGGGTCCCAGTTAGAAGGCAAAGGAAATTGGTAAAGAAATTCTATTCTGGTGAGAATAAACCATAAGATTTTTTGATTCCAAAATTGCCTGCCTTCATTACTGCTTGGGAACGGTTTAAATACATAAAAATAAAACTGCTAATTCTTACTTTTAAAGCAACTAAGGATAATGGAGGAAATGGGATAGTGCAGCAACTGCGTGTTGACCGGTTCCGCAGCAACAGCTACGTTATCCCCATGTTGTGGTGATCAGCTTAACAAATACCTTGTACTAAGCAACATAATGACAATTGTAATATCATAGTTCACTTTCATTTTATTTTCTCAGTTTGGTTTTAGAACAGAGAAAGTAAATCTCTCTGTTATTTTTTCACAACCTCTTCTGAGCCATCTAGCATGAAAAAAATAGAGAAACACTATATCCCCAGTTTCTTTTCATAAAGAAATCTATTTTCCTTTAATTATTGCCAAAATTTCTTGTCTTTTGTTTCCTTTAGTCCTCCTGAGAAGGAAACCCAACAATTTCCTAAAACAAGAAAAAAGTAAAGCCAAAAAGGAAAAAAGAATTTGCAAAATCTACAGGCCTATTGTCGGCTACACCATATCTCTGGCTGCTGCAAAAAGGTGGTGTACAGTGCGGCTGCCAACCATCTCATAATGCATTGATTGCCCAAACCCTGGTTTTTTAGCTCCTACCTTTGCTGAATGCCACCACAAAAGTGCTGGTTCCCTCTTTGTGCATTTGCTGTCAAGCTGGATCTCCTAGGTAGCGATCTCGAAATCAGGAAGTGATATCAATCTTGATCCTGTGTCAGCATTGCCAAGATGAGTCCAAAGCTGAAAAATCAATCAATTATGGTGACTGTAACGTGATGAATGATATGCATGCACTGATATCCAAGGTCATCAAGTGTTTCCCTAAACAATAGTTGAATAGTTCAACCTGATTTTATTTGTCATCTCTGTTAGAGATGTTCATTTCTTTTCAAATCTGTTCTCAAGTTTTCAGACTAGTTTCTAAGTTTAGACATTGAGGTTTTTTGGTTTCTGAGGTTATATTCTTCATATTCGCAATCTATACATTTTAACTAGGATGTCACATATTTTTAGGTCTAGCTGCTATAAAAGAAAAAAGAAATAAAAAGAAATAAAAATAATAATAATGCTTGTGAAACCTTAGAGCTCCGCTTGGGAGATAAGGACTAGTTTTCCTGTAAAAGGATGTTGTTTCTTTGAATATTACAGCTTTTGCTTGAAGGAGTTGCCCCACAGAAGTTGTGAATCATAAGAGCTTGTTGACATAAAAGGTTTTCAGCAAGATTATTTGTAGAAATTGGTGATAAGTAGTTGTCAAAGTTTAGAGTTATCAGTGGAAGGGTAGCATTTTTATTTTCAGCCGCTAGTTTGTTTCCATTTCTGTTCTCTCCCCTTGTGGGGAGCTCTTTCCATTTAGTACTTTTTTTTTTTTGAAAATTTTGAGGATGTCTTATTCTCTGGGGTTTTATTGTTTTTCTCTCTCCTTTCTCAATAATTTTTCTGCTTTTATCTAAAAAAGAATTATTTTTTTATCCAAGGGTATATAAATGTAGATTTGGCTACTTTTTGCTTCTCTTCATAGATCCAACATAGGATACTATGTGTTAATTGGTGGTAACATGATGCCATAGAAGACCAAGAAGCAGATTCTGTGGTTTTCAGATCTAGTGCTAAATCAGTGTATTGAGCTATGACTAGTACTTTGAGTTGATTGGTTGAAACGTCTACTTCATGAACTTTGTTTTCTAAAATCGCAACCTATGAAGTTACTAGAGATAGCGAAGCAGCAACCTAGGGAAAATGTAACATGTTGCGATTGATTGTTATTTTATAAACTTCTCCATAATATGATTTGAACTATTCATGTGAGCTCAACTACCAGCTAGCTATGGTTTCAAAATTCGTAGGAGGAGATCATATGAAGTTCATTTGCACCTAAGTTGGTCTATATGATATATATGCTCCAAACTGAGGGTGGTCTTTCACCTTATACATGACCTTCCTTGCTATTTTCTAATATAGGTCTCTCTTATATAGTTAAGTTTCCTATTTCTTTTTTTGAAGTAAGGATCCTTTTACCTATGTATATATATATTTTTACATATAAAATAGTTACAATATTTTCTTTAAGAGCATATATGCCTGTATAAGTACCATGGAATATTCTCCCAACATAATAGTAAGTGTAATGATGTAATCTTATGTTTATTCTTCTAACAATTAGTAAGACGCTGCATACACATTCATCTTTTATCCTAACAATTTTTTTGCTTTGAAATGGAGTGCTTGGGGATAAAATTTATCAACAGCTTATAAAAGTTCAAAATTGCATTATGTATAATAGTTTTCTAGACCTATATTCTCTATTTTGTCTTATGATGTTGAATAATGATAAATTAAAGTTTTTAGTAACTTTAAACATCCTTATAATTGGCAAGGTTATTTAAATATTTTTAACTTATGAATCGGAAAAATTTGGTGTTATCATATAGTTTTATATCTGTTAAGTTCACGAGTTGGAGATAAGTGGACTCGAATCGCTGACATTCGCCATAGAGTAAAGTACTACCTATCAGGCTCCCGACCGATTCTACTGTAGAGGTCAACAATAGAGAATAACTCTCATCCGAACGCAATTTACAATTTTTATCGTACTCAGCTCTCTAAAGAGCAACTCTTCTCAAATCTCAAAAGGTGCCGAGTTGGAATCCTATTCTAAATAAGGATTCTTGTGGTTCTGGAGGATCCAACTACAAGAGACTAGGAACGGAGAGCTTTTTCCCCTTTTTTTATCCGACTCTTTCGATTGTTGGTTTTAAGAATGAGTGATTGCCCTTCTTTGGCCTTTACTTCCCGACCTGAGAGCTGATAACAACTACATTCTACTTACTGAATATGGTTCTATGGTTGGTCCACGACCATACCGATGGCATCCTTGGGGTGATCTCGTAGTTCCTATGGGGTGGAGACGATAGGGTCGATCCATGGATTTTCCTTCCTTTTGCAAGATATTAGCTATTAGACTTTTAGCAAGATGTAGAAAGTGTTGATATTCTCTTTATTTTGTAAATTAGTACCTATCGAGTGGTACTAGTTTTGTGATTATGAGGATTATGATGGAATAAAAATGCTTTTCCAACTAGTATTCAGAATGTTCTTCTCTTGGCTATTCAGTTTTCGTTGTTACTTTCTTTTTTCCTGTTATTTCCTCTATTTGATTTCTCCATTCTTCTTATTTCTTCTTGATTTCTGTTTTTTCTCTTTTACTGTTCTCGTGTGCTACATTAGATTTTTATTTTGGAGAAGATTCTATATTACATTATAAATGGACTCCACTGTTATTAGTTCATAATAGTATGATATCTGTGTTCTAGGCTCTGGAATCTTCTAGCACCTGGGTGATTGAGTTTCAAAGGGAGGTGGAAAAGGCAACTTGGTTAAAAGAACTCACGCAAACCATATATCAAGCTTCAGTATAATTTTGATGTCATTTTTTTTCTTATATTTGACTTGTTCTTTTTGCAACTACGCTGAAATTTTGTTACATATGCTTGTAGGAGCCTCCATCAGTGGATGTGCTTGGTGAAGTAAGTGATAGTGCTGGTGACTTTGATGATCCTCAACCAAGAAATGTGAAATCTGCTGATCTTGTTATCAGTGGGGCGCTGGTGGAAACCAAGTTGTGTATATATGGAAAGGTTAGATGTAACCATTCTATAGTTGCTTTTGATATAAATGAAATGCATCACCTAGGTAGGAGTATTGTCTTTGTCCTAGTTAAAGTTGTTAGAATTTGGCAAGGAGTTTAGCTGCTTTAAAATATTGTCTTATTCGGTATCCTGATTAGGAGTCTTGTTGGTTTATATTGTTGTGCAGACCGGGGGAAAAGTTAACGAGGAACCTGAAGAGACTTTAATACTTGAAGTTCGTGCTGTAGGGGGAAAGGTTTGTATAAAATGACAAGTAGCTAGATGATTTTATTTCATGTCTCGAGATACTTATACAAGACTAAGAGGTAGTTCAAATATGTATCTATATATATTCCTAAAATAAAGGATAGATTAAGAAATAATACAGCTATATTCACGCTAACTCTTCCCCTTAAGTTGGGCATAGATATCGCACATGCCCAATTTGGATAGTGATGCATAAATGGCCACTAGTAACAGCGTGAGTCATCATGTCGACTAGCTGATCTGCACTCTTAATGAAGAATCTCTGTTGGACCAGAATCCAGGTTGTCTTCCCAGTTCTTAACCAGATGATGCCAGTACTATAGTGCCAATTAGACTTTTCATTCGAAATCAAAGATCCTTAATTTCAGTTCTAAGGAGTAAAATATAGGAGTCTTGTTCTGGTCCATGTTAAAAACATTTGGATGCCGAAGAACCATTGAGGTGAAGCCTGTAGACTAAGTTCACATTACAATTAATTCTCATTAAAGAAGAGGAAATATTATAGTGGAAAAAGAGCTGTCAAATAAGAAGAAATGAGGATACGGTATCCTGCGAGCAAAAAGAAAAAAAAAAACCTAGACTACAAATCTAATTACTCTGTATGTAAAGTAGATAAAGGCATACCATCAAAATAACTATGTGCATTAGCCCAAAAAGAAGTGAAGAAATCATCTTATCTTGGGCCATGTGAAGTAGCTGAAGTTTGTTTTTAAAATTTCTAGCATTCTGTTCAAGCGAAATGATCTACAAACCAAAAAAAGTGGCCCCATCCACAAGCTCCTTGTCTGCCCAATACTAGAGTAGCAGACATAAAAATGCCTAGATTAGACACTCCCAGGATTCCTCAAACAGAGAAAACAGTTTAGACCGAGTAAACTCAAAAGATTACAGGTTTCTCCTTGTTTGTGAGGGATGACTTCTTTCTATTCTGCTATGATACATCATTTTGTTGAATTCGCAAAGGTTAATATCTGGTTATATAATTATTTTGTTGCTCTTAGTATTTAGCCTTATTGCCTTGCAGGTACACATAGTCAGTTGTGAAACAGAACTACGAGTGAAAATGAAGCTACATTCTTTGAGGATTAAAGATGAGCTTCAAGGTCAACTACGAAAAGTTCCACAATATTTGGCGTGCTCTGTGCTGAAGAAAGACAATTTGTCTTCCCAGGGTACAGGTGATCCCCATGAAAAAGAGGTGTCTGTGATCCTTTTGGAGGATGAGGATACTTTTACAGATGCTTTGCCAGAATTTTTGTCTCTGAGAGATCTTGGACTTCATTCACAAGACATGGATGTGGCTCAATGTGGCATAATGGGATACATCGATAATCGTGGAGGATCTGAGTTAGCAGGGGTCTTGATTCATGAAAAAGATTCAATACAAGAAACTTTTTCTGATGAGATATTTTATGAAGCACAAGGTGGTGATGATTCTGATTTTGTGTCAGTTACCTTTCTGGCCAGGAGTTCTGGTTCTCATGATTACGATGGTATAGATACGCAGGTAAAAAACCAAGAATCTTGGCCTCACATTGAAGTTCATAGTATATATTTGCCTTAAACTGACATGCTATTCATTCAAACAAAATCTTAGATGAGCATTCGCATGTCCAAACTGGAGTTCTTCTGCAACCGACCCACTCTCGTCGCTTTGATTGGTTTTGGCTTTGATCTGGCTGCTGCAAATACTTCAAGGAGTGGTACAGATGAGATGAAAATTTCAAATGATAAATCTTGATCAGTAAAGACAGACTGAGAAAGTGGGCGTATGAAGGGTTGCTGGGTTATGGTAAAGATCGTGCAGTCTTTATTTAAATATGAATATTGATAGTGTGACTGTGTTCCTTAACAAGGAGGATGGTTCTCAGCTTGCCATGTTTGTACAAGAAAGTTTCTTGTTAGACATAAAGGTGAGATAATCTTGTTATGATACCTAAGGTTTCTACTTTTTTTCCCTTTCCTTTTTTTTTTCAACGTAAGATAAGTTTTATTTTGTATCATGGTGCAGGTCAGTTTTATTTAAATTTCAAGTTGTGCATAAGTATTTATGATATCTGTTTGGTATTTTATGTTGCCTCTTCCAAGGGCAACAAAGCACTTCCAATAACTGATTTATATCCTTCTTGCCTGCTTCTTCTTTTGCTGAGCTGAGTCCTTGGTTAAATGATTTGTTCGACGCTCGCTGCTTTAATTTAGTAGCGTCCTTGGTTAAATGATTTAGTACTGATTTTTATGTAATGATATATGTGGAAATGGGCCTAAATGCTGTGGGCTAAATATAAAATAGATTAGCAGGCTTTGTACCCAATTATGATATGAAACGGGTAGCAAAAAGGAGTGAGATTCTCCATGGTTTAGAACTTTGGAATAAGGACCTTTGCCCCATCCTATATTAAGAGTTTGTGGGGGCATTTGATGATTAATTATCTAAAAAGTTAGCTGATAGATCTAATTATATCTTTCAAACTCAACCAGTAACTTGGTGATAGTATTTTTACGGTCCCGATTTATGGATCTCGTTAAATCATCCCGAAAATAACTAGGTACTAAAGGTTGTTGTTGTGTTCTTCTTCCTTTCTTTATTTTGATTTAAACGTATGAACTCGTTAAGAGAGAACCCAACAATCTCCTAGAGTTGAAGTATTCAAGAAACTTTTGATAAATTTTCTGTATAAAAACTGAACATTTACAAGGACAGCAGCAGATTTGAGATCTGGAAAGGAAGCAGTTATCTAGAAGTTAATTCCAGAACTACCTATTACATCTGCTTCCCCCTATCTTTTCTCTTACTAACCTCCCGCACTTAAAACTGAAAACACTAACCAGCAAACAATAAAAATATAAATAAAATATAATTCCACGACTTGCTAATTACGTAATTAACTTATAACTAAATGCAATCCTACAACCTACTAATTTTATGATTAATTTATAACTAAATATATATATACTACTAAGATTCTTATAATTAATTATTTTACAAAGTTAAGATATTTATTATCTCTTAACATTTTACTTCTGCTTACTCACTAGTCTGACCTGATCTCATTTCAGGTCCAGTTCACTCGTAATAACTTTTATCGTGTCTGACATTATTTCTCTCTCTTATGAAGGTCCATCCAAGTTCCATCTCGCTTGAAGGGACATTGGGAAATTTCAGACTGTGTGATATGTCACTAGGGACAAATCATTCTTGGGGTTGGCTTTGTGATATACGTAATCAAGGAGTTGAATCTCTGATAAAAGTACGTTTACTATATTTCACTGACACCTGAGGCATTTTAATATCACGCTTTTATGATTGCCATCTTACCTTTTCTTTTACTTAAATGTCTTTTTTCCTTTTTTTCTCAGTTCAAATTTAATTCTTATAGTGCTGGAGATGTGGATTATGAAGGACATGATTATAGCTTGTCTGGGCGACTTTCTGCTGTTCGAATTATTTTTCTCTATAGGTTTATTCAGGAGGTATGTTAGAATACAGATTCATTATTTGAATCAAGTTATATTACTACAAAATTGGGTGATTTTTGTCAGCTGATATTATTTTGTTTAATAAATAATTCTTCAGTTTTCTTAAACTTTAACGAGTTCAATGTTTGGGATTGTTATCAACTTGATGAATGCATACTTTTTTCAGATAACAGTATATTTCATGGAACTTGCCACGCCACACACTGAAGAAGTAATAAAACTTGTTGATAAAGTTGGAGGCTTTGAGTGGTTGATACAGAAATATGAGATTGATGGAGCTGCAGCCTTAAAGCTTGACCTCTCACTTGACACTCCAATAATTATTATTCCTAGGAATTCAACAAGCACAGAGTTAGTTAAACTTTTCATTGGTTCTTAATTTTCTCTCGCTTTCTTAGAATTCATATGTCGGATGTGATGTTGGCAAAAATTGTGAATATAAGCACATTTTCTTAATCTTGAAAGTAAAATTTTTTAGCTTTTCTGAGTTTGATTTCTTTTATTTAAACAACTTATTTCTGGATATAGGTATTTTGTATGAGATTGAATTGCTTCTGGTTCCCGTAAGCAAATTATTGCAATTGAATATGTGTATGCATGCATATTTGTGCTTTAATTCCCTGCGATCAAATGGACTGGACAAGAGTCTGAAAGTTGCCCAAGGCAATTATGGTTTTGTCTTTTTAGTTTACATTTTCACACTGAATTGTGTCTTTCTGTTTGTCTCTCCAACTCCCACAAAGATGTGCTTGAACAAAATTTTCCTATCTTTTTTAGTTTAAAGGTGAAAGGTAGAGAATCTAGACATATTAAAAATTCATTTCTTTTGTGGTGGATTCTTAGCTTCTCTAGGTTCTTGCAACCTGATTTAAAACTTCAGATAGTCAATAAGGTTTTTTTTATTCGGTTATTGGCAGTTTCATTCAACTTGACCTTGGTCAGCTACGAGTGACAAATGAAATTAATTGGCATGGTTGCCCAGAGAAGGATCCTACTGCTGTGCATATTGATGTCCTCCATGCTGAGGTATATTGTTCTCTCTACTGTCTATATTTTTGTTCATCATGCTTAGTTATATTGTTTATAATTTCTTAGGAACTCATTATTTTAACCTACTAGATTTATAGTTAATTCTGGCTAAATTTGCAGATTTTGGGAATCAACATGGCTGTAGGAATCAATGGGTCTATTGGTAAACCAATGATACGTGAAGGGCAAGGACTGGACATTTATGTTCGACGCAGTTTGAGGGATGTTTTCAGGAAAGTTCCAACATTTTCTCTTGAAGTTAAGGTAATACCTTCCAGAATTCAGTTATCCAGGCATCTTCTGCTTTTTCAGTCATGTGATATTTATATCCCCAGTAAGGGTACTATTGCCATCTATAGTTAATGCATACATGAAATATTATCAAGTGCATGTTGGTTAACACTTTTTCCCCCTTCAATCTAATTGGTAATGATGCAGATGTAGAAACTATTTCAGATTTAATTATACCTTAAAAGTTTTCACTTTTGATTTGTTCAAGTAATATTCTTACATATGCGTTGATAATTTCCAATGAAATTGTTCTCATTTAAATTTTTGAATATCCTGGAATTTGAAGTCTGAGTACCATTTTCCTTCTGTGGCTTTTGAATTCTGAAGAAGGGTTGTTAATCCGCCATTTGGCAGGTTGATTACTTGCATGGTGTGATGTCTGATAAAGAATATGGTGTTATTGTAAATTGTACGTACATGAATTTATATGAGGAACCAAGGCTACCTCCAAGTTTTCGTGGCAGCAAATCCAATTCTAAAGACACAATGCGACAACTGGTTGACAAAGTGAACTTGAATAGTCAAATGATTTTGTCACGTACGGTTACTATAATGGCTGTTGAAGTCAATTATGCTCTCCTGGAGTTACGTAATGGTGTTCATGAGGACTCACCTTTAGCTCATATTTCTGTAAGTTCTAGAATGCTACCTCTTTTGCTTGCATTTGCTTTCATTTTGTTCCTTCAGTATTTTTAAATAGTTAAGTTTGGTGAACACTTTCTTAATCTTTTTAATATACCTTATCATGCATAAACTTGTTAGAGGGAAGTATTGATCATGGACTGCTCCTTCTACATTGTGATGAAATTTAATTTTTAACATCAGTGTTATGACAGTAAGATTTCTGAGTCTGATACCATTCTAAATACTTATATAAGAAATGATCCAGATTTATTGTTTAGATTCTTGGAATTACATCTCGTATTTTGATGCAAAAATATCTTAATAGAAAGCAGTGTTCTTTTGAAATTTTGGTTTTATGATATTTGTCTGTTTTCTTTGCTTTTGCAGCTAGAAGGTCTTTGGGTATCATATCGAATGACTTCATTATCCGAAACAGATCTATATGTGACCATCCCTAAATTTTCTATTCTTGACATTCGCCCTAATACAAAACCTGAAATGCGCCTGATGCTTGGATCATCCACTGATGTGTCCAAGCAACCTTCTACAGGAAATTTTCCATTTTCCTCAAGTAAGGGCAGCTTTAGAAGAGTGAACTCTAGAGCTGGCCCTGATGCGGAAGTTCCATTTTCAACAATGTTCTTGATGGATTATAGATGGCGGATATCCTCCCAGTCAAGTGTGGTTAGGGTTCAGCAACCACGAGTCCTTGTTGTACTGGATTTCCTGCTAGCAGTTGGTGAATATTTTGTGCCAGCTTTGGGAACAATAACTGGAAGGGAAGAAACAATGGATCCTAAGAATGACCCAATAAGCAGAAACAATAGCATAATACTTTCTGAACCTGTTTACAGGCAGAGTGAAGATGTGTTGCTGCTGTCCCCAAGTAGACAGTTAGTAGCAGATGCCATGGGAGTCGACGAATATACTTATGATGGTTGTGGAAAGGTAATCTCTTTAAGTGAAGAAAGAGAGACAAAAGAATATTCGTCAAGATTCCAACCAATCATAATCATTGGACGCTGTAAAAGGTTGCGGTTTGTCAATGTGAAAATTGAGGTAATTGCCTACTTCTATCTGGCTCATATTTCTTTGGCTCATAGTTGTATATGCTCTATCTTTTTGTATTTATTCAATCTTTCAGAATGGTTCCCTCTTGAGGAAGTACACATACTTAAGTAATGATAGCAGCTACTCAATCTCCTTGGAAGATGGTGTTGATATTTCATTGCTGGACAATTCTTTTTCTGATTCGGAGAAGAATATTCATGGCAATACGGATGAATCATCAGACACGTCCAGTGTTTTTTCATCTTCTAAAAGTGATTCGAACATGACAAGAAGCGTGCACACGTTTGTATAGTCCCAGGTACGCTTGTTTATTTGTA